TCAATCAGTTTTAAAATGTTGGTCATGATGAAAAATAATGTTTTCTTTGGATATGCCTTAAAGGAACTCTACTGACGTCTAAAAGCCTAGAAACTCTATAATTTGAAAATCTTTCATAACGTTAAATCAACTGGGGGCAATTAAGGCAGAATAAAAGGATAATAATAAAGAAATTTATCAAAAATTAATCAGAAAAATCGATATCTAGTTGGAAGCTTAGCCAATTTTTGTTAAGTGTTTAAACACTTCGATTTAGGTCTTTTTGCATAACAAAAAATCATTATTCTAAATCATTGATAATCAGTATGGATTCCAAAAGGGAAAATAACAATCGACTGTCATTTCCTTTTTCATGCTATAATAAATAAAGCAATGTATTCCCGAAATAAATAATACATGTACTGAGCATTCATAGATTTTGAAAAAAGGTTTTGACGGATTAGAAAGGTCATTAATATTTTCAAAATCTTGTGAAAAGGGATCGGTTTTTAGCTCGACTATTCGAAGAATATGAGAGCTATTGTAGTCGCCCCGGCGTCGGCGTCAGCGTCCGCGTCGGCGTCTGCGTTGGTTAAAGTTTTTTGTAAAGTCAAATATCTCAATCATTACTTGAGATATTCAATTGAAACTTACAATACTTATTTATAGTAACAAGGTACATCAGATTGACAAGTTAGATAACTCTGCCAACAATATTGACAGAATTATGCCCCTTTTTAACTTAGAAATTTTGGTTAAAGTTTTTTGTAAAGTCAAATATCTCAATTATTGCTTGAGATATTCAATTGAAACTTACAATACTTATTTATAGTAACAAGGTACATCAGATTGACAAGTTGGATAACTCTGCCTACAATATTGACAGAATTATGCCCCTTTGGAACTTAGAAATTTTGGTTAAAGTTTTTTTGTAAAGTCAAATATCTCAATTATTGCTTGAGATATTCAAATGAAATTTAAAATACTTTTTTATAGTAACAATGTACATCAGTTTGCAAAATTGCATAACTCTGCCTGCAAAATTTGAAGAATTATTTGCCCCTTTGAAACTTAGAAATTTTGGTTAAAGGTTAAAGGTCTTCAAAGATATTTACTTGAAACTCTACACATGCACTTAGGGTCATAATTGGAGGGTCATAATTGTATGTCACTGACCAACTTCCATAACTCTATCTTGCATTAAGGCTGATTCATATCCCCTTTTCTACTTATAGTCTCTTGGTTAATGTTTACATGCAAGTTTTACATATCTCAATAACTATTAAAGATATTTATTTAAAACTTCACATATGCATTTAGGGTCATAATTGTAGGTCACTGACAAAGATCCATAATTCTATCTTGCATTTAGGCTGATTTTTCCCCTTTTTTCAACTTAGAAATTCATGGTAAAATTTTGCTTGTAAGCTGTTATCTCAATTACTACTGAAGGGTTTGTGCCCTTATTTGGGACAATTTTATGCATTCATAATAATAAAGCAGTGATTTACTTGATAAAACATCTTAGTTAGAAGCCTATGTACCTTTTCTGTTAAATTTATGTATTCATAGGTAATTAGTATTATTATACTCAATAAAACAACCTTGTGACATTACCTTCCGAATAGTCAAGCCAATACTGTATAATTAGACTCTCTCTAAGGCCTATAACATGAATTTATTTTATTAAAAAAAAATTAGACCTTTTGTGATCTTAAAAAATTTAACATTATCAAGGCTCTTTTACTATCAATCACATAGAATAGTCGAGCGTGCTGTCCTACCGACAGCTCTTGTTATACTTCTTAAAGCTATCCAGTACATAATTATGTAGCGGTAACATAGAATGCAAAACTGAAATATCCCTATTCCATATCAGGCTTAAAGTTTTTGTTCTTTTGTGAACGATATGTTAACCAGTTTTTCACGATAATATTGAGGACATCTTTATTTTTAATGAAATTAAGTTATCCATACGTCTTTTTGTCGATGGTGCTGTACTTACGGCATAGCGGAAGCGCTACAGACATTACTTAATGATGTTTAAATATGTTTTAATTAAATGTAAACGCTGATTAATCAAATACAAGTACATTGATTGTTTAGCAAGGGCGTCATACGACACACAATTTTCTTTTCAATGGTATTATAACTCTTTGTATTAGTAAAATCGTTCGTATATCTACGAAATACCTTATTTAAAAACGGCCTCAAAAGAAACATTCACAACATTCTTTATTTGCTTTACATAATTTATTTATTGTTTTTTTTTAAAATCAAATATACCTATCTAATCTATTCCGACAAGAAGAAGGTAAAATATTAGACATGGCGCCAAAATTGGCAATCACGACGGTAAAGATGTTGAGTGTATGCATATATATATGAGCCGTGGCACGACAAAACCAACATAGTGCTTTTGCGACCAGCATGGATCCAGACCAGCCTGCGCATCCGCGCAGTCTGATCAGGATCCATGCTGTTCGCTTACCAACTCTATTACAAGTGGAGAAACTGACAGCGAACAGCATGGACCCTGATCAGACTGCGCGGATGCGCAGCCTGGTCTGGATCCATGCTGATCGCAAACCCACTATGTTGGTTTTGTCGTGACGCGGCTCATATATTGTACATTCTTGAGAAAGACGATTATTACTAAAATCGGCATTAAAATCAACTAATCTAGGTGTCCTTACGGTATCCTATGAGAGCACAATGTAACATCCCAGTTACACAGAGCCATCTGTGATTGATTGGTAGTTTTTTTTAGCCTGAGCATATGCTCAGGGTGAGCTATTAGGATCACTCTTCGTCCGTCGTCTGTCGTCCGTTCTCCGTTGTCCGTTCACACTTTTCAAACGGCATCTTCCATGAAACCATAAGGCAGATCATAATGAAACTTCACAGGGATGTTCCTTGTGTGAAGCCTTAACAAAGTTGTTCAAAGAATTCCATTCCATGCAGAACTCTGGTTGCCATGGCAACCAAAAGAAAAAACTTTAAACATCTTCTTCTAAAAAACCCAAAGAGCTAGAGCTTAGATATTTGGCATGAAACATCTTCTAGTGAGTGTCTACCAAGATTGTTCAAATAAAATCCCTGGGTCAAAATTGGCCCCGCCCCAGGGGGTCATTGATTTTCCCTATGTGCATATAGTAAAAACTTTAAAAAATCTTCTTTTAAAGAACCCAAAGAGCTAGAGCTAAGATATTAAGCATGAAACATCTTCTAATGAGTGTCTACCAAGATTGTTCAAATAAAAGCCCTGGGTCAAAATTGGCCCCGCCCCAGAGGGTCATTGATTTTCCCTATATGCATATAGTAAAAACTTAAAAAAAATTCTTGTAAAAAACCCAAGGAGCTAGAGCTTAGATATTTGGCCTGAAACATTTTCTAATAGATGTCTACCAAGTTTGTTCAAATAAAAGCCCTGGGGTCAAAATTGGCCCCGCCCCAGGGGGTCATTGATTTTCCCTATATGCATATAGTAAAAACTTAAAAAATCTTCTTCTAAAAAACCCAAAGAGCTAGAGCTTAGATATTTGGCATGAAACATGTTCTAATGGATGTCTACCAAGTTTGTTCAAATAAAAGCCCTGGGGTCAAAATTGGCCCCGCCCGGGCTGAATATGTGTATAGCAAAAACTTAAAAGTCTTCTTTGAAAAAACCCGAATAGCTTGAGTTTAGATATTAAGCATGAAACATTTTTTTTAGTAAGTGTCTACAAAGATTGTTCAAATAAAAGCCCTTGGGTCAAAACTGGCCCTGCCCCAGGTGTGTCATTGTTTTTAACTATATGTGTAAAGAAAAAAACTTGACCAGCTAGACCTTAGATGTTAAGCATGAAATATCTTCTAATGGGTGTCTACCAAGTTTGTTCAAATAAAAGCCCTGGGGTTTAAACTGGCCCCGCTCCGGGGGCCTTTATACAGGTGAGCGACTTCAGGGCCATCATGGCCCTCTTGTTTTAGTGAACCGATGACAACGTATTTAACACCTATATCACCACCTATTGGTCACCTGTTTTCCACCTATCGATTGCTATTTGGGAAAGATAAGTTTTATCGGTGAAAAATTACTGATTGGGATTTTTAAACATGTTTAAAATTCTCGATCGGTGAAAATATTTTACAAATAACCGACAGCAACCTATATCACGGGATATGCAAGCTCTTAATCACTGATATCGACGATAGGACAAAGATAACCAAATATGAATCACCGGCCATATCTGACAGAAAGTGTTTAACTACTGATGACTAGCTATCTATTTCAGCATTTTTATCACCGATCCAGCCCCGTATGAGTTTGGTTTCCGTCACCGATGGCCGTTTACACAGAAAACCAGAAATAAAATCACGCATGACAACCGAGTAAATTTAAAATTAAATGACCGATTGGGGACCGACCGTCTGTGTAACTGGCCCTTTAAATGATTATGATTGAATACTAGTAAAAGATTTTGAGCTCAGAAAATGACTCTATTTTTAATGTACTGAAAGTTGATATCAATGTCTCAAATAATGGAACTAATTAGGCATACTAATTAATTCAATGAATTACATTGACGAGATAGGGTTTTCTTTTTATGGTAACAGCATAACGAAATTAATATATAAAAATTACAAATTTAGAAAAAATGATAGAATATATCATATACATAAACAAACTTGGAAATCATAATTAAATATGTCAAGAAGACAGTTAAAGTATGTATACATTTATGTAAATTCTCACTCGCCTTTACAACATTATTACATTTAAAGCAAATTATTATAAGAAAAAAAGAACTAAATAATAAATAAGAAAGTCTGATTAACATGTATATTATTACAAAGACTTATTTTTATTTACATGACTGTATTATAAACATTTTGATTTGTTTGTTTGTAAAAATGGCTTACGCTTTACCAATATTATACCTGTGTTTTTTTTATATATAGGTACGGATTTTTTTTTTAAATCGGACTTTTGAGCGATTATTGATAAAATTTCAAGCTGATGGGCGATATCATAAACTTTTGTATTTAGTGGTGTTCAACCTTTAGGTCTTGCGTAACAAGAGGGAAATATCGGTATTAAAATCATTCGATTTATCGCGTGTAAAGGATGGAAAAAGTGAGTAATTGTCTTGTAAGAAATTTAATACATTCTGTTTATTATATTATTCCATTGTTACGGAATGTCAAGGGATAAGAAGTAACTTGTATACAATTTTAGTCAAATGTGTTGCAATATAGGTTAAGCACAGGTAAATAGTTGAAAACCACTAAATATTTTTTTCTTTCTTTTTCTGTAGTAAAATTTATATTTTAAAGTGCACATATTAAAAAGTTAATATAATTAATAAAGACAATCGGAATCTTTTCTGCTCTTTATTGATAGTATTGTTTGATAAAAAATCTTACAACAAGTGAATTAATCTCTCCAACCACGTAAGGCTCTGAATGCAGCAGAATTGATAATGAATTATCATATGTATGCAGAATGACAAGTCTTTTGATATTTTCGATAATATATATCCTTAAGCATCAATTTACCATAAATTAGCAACAATATGTTTAACAGAACTGACCTATAATAGACTTGGTGATACCAAGTTTTCAGTTCTCATTCCTATACTGTAAGGTTACCTCCCCTTTTCAGAATTGTTTAATTCAATTTTATATTAAATTATTATTTGTGTCTTTTATTTTAGATTGATGAACTGAACCGAAGCAATGTCCACATGCGAGACAAGGAATATGTGATGAAAGTTATCATGAAAATGGTGAATGATGGACCTGACAAGTTACAAGCAAGTATTTTGACGACAGTTTATATTACCAAGTTTATATTACCATTGCAATTTGCAACGGAAGTAAAACTTCCAACATCTCTGTGTCAAAAATTGACATTCGATTCGAATTCCATACATAAATCATTTTTTGTTGTTACTTAATTTTATCATGTGAGCTTACATTTTTACTTTAGTACTACATCAAGTGGAGTATTAATAATCACAAACAATTATTTCCAGTCCCATCACGTCAAAAAATCTCAGTGGAGTCCCTTTAACCCTTAACCTTACTTTACGCTGAAAGTTGTATCAGTTGAGCAATTCAGGTTTCCTATTCGAATTAGACATATAAATATAGTTAGTTTGCACTAATAACTGGCGTTGCTTATTGAATCCATGTTTCCTATCGCCATTCCTATCTTTTAATTTATATTCATAGGTCTAAAGTACATGTTTATATAAAGATGGTCTTTTTAATGAATATTGTGTTTAATCTTCTTAAAGATATTATTAATTCCCAGATTGAATTTAAAAGAAATTAATTGTTAGTCTGTATGTTATTTGTATTAATGCCAAATGATTGTGTTTTGTTAGCTTGATTATTTCCTTTTTACTGTACCCTGCAGGTATGTTCAGACTTTGATGAAACTATTACAAACTATAAAGGACCTGGCACCTTTAGTAAGTATGCAGTTCCTGAAATGAGCTTCATCTTCAACACTGGCAGCACAAGACTGACAGAAATATAATTCTTTTTAATTTTTGATTAACTGTATGATTATAGTAATAATGATTTGGCATTAACGTTTCAGAACTCAAACAATTATGTATCATTATTTATATGTAGCTCATTTCTGGATTTTCAGTTTAATTTTTAATGAATGTTTGTTTTGTTTTGTTTGATTGGGTTTTACGTCATGTGCACCGACACAGTATAGGTCATATGGCGACGTTCCAGCTTAAAACTGGTGGAAGAAGACCTCAGGTGCCCTTGTGTGCATTATTTCAGGCACCAACGGGCACCTGAGTAGAACCACCGACGTTCCGTAAGCTAGCTGGATAGTATTATGAATGTAAAAGTGCAATATTACTTTGAAATCTCCTTATCAACTCGCGCTTCAAGAAAGGTTTTCTTGTATTTGTAAACTAAAATAATTATTAAAATAAAATAATTTTTATCTTATGTCTTGCATAAAATTTACTATATTATATATTCTGCTTCTTTTACTTGCCTTAAAATTTGTGCAATTTCTGTTTAGACAATGGAATCAAAAAGGTTTAAGAGAATTTTTGTTTCACTTTATAGAGTGAGTTACAATTTGTTTGTGAACACAGGCGTATTGGTTTGGTTGTCATTCACATTTTGAATATTTTCAGATGTCTTAGAGGAAGGTGGCTTACCAGAGGATTACAAGGAAAAAGTATATATGTACAGAAACTGTCAATAGTTATATAGAAATGGCTGATAGTGGACTATCTACCTCATTGTTTTTTTAAATAATATAAATAATAATAGATTGAGTGTAAAATATATTGTTTGAAAAGTATGCGATTCCTATTTTTAAGATGTGATATTTTGATAATGATGTTGAAATGGATAGATACTGCTAGACAGAGTGTTGAACATGCGATTGAATAGCATGTTTTGGAAATGTCATTTTGCACAAAAAGCCACCTTTTAAGAAAAGAGGGCCTCCTAGTAGTATAGTGAACGATCAGTCAGGCTACACATAGTTAAGGTTCATTCAAAGTTTTGGCACTGTAATGCTATGAGGTGCGATTTCTTAAATTATGCCGCACTTTTCTAGAACATAACGTTAAAAGTTCAACGATGAAGAAAATCAAATCATATTGTTTAAATTGTTACAACATTTCTATTAATTTAACCTCGGCAGTCATTATACATTTTTTGCCGGACTAGTGTACGAATATTTTAGTTTTCAAAAGTTCGCTAACAACTTATATAGATAAAGAAGGAATACATTTATGTTAGATATATTTTCATTTGGAGAATACTCGTTTGATCTTTTTATGTGAAAAACTATGATAAATCATAAAGTATAAGAAATCAAAAAAGCAATTTTGTATTTGCAGGCAACAAAGATAAAAGACAAATACTTGCCAATTGAGATGGATCCGAATTTGTCAATTGAAGAAAAAATACCTCATATGATAGAATGGTTTGTACTATTATGAAGTTTATTTGTTGTGTTTTTCACACTTCCCCTGCTGATCAGCCTTTTCCATCAATATAGAGCCAAACGCGGTATGACCAGGTTAATGGTATCTCAATATTTGTATCACTGAAGCTTTAAAATGGATTGTTCCAAATTGGAAAAAATGTGCTTGTTCAAACTGTTTTAACAATATGTGTGTTTTCATTCGTTTATACTTCTTGTTTCAATGAATCCGTTATTAGGTCAAACTGAGTTAACTTAATTTGATTATAGGTTTGTCACAAGTGGGTCAACCAAATATGTTCTTATCTTATTTAACTTTGTTGTTTGCTGGCTGATGATGAATATAGCAAACATTTAGTTAAGGACAAATTTGTAATTAAATGTGATTTTAGAAACATTTTTCTAAACTTAACCCTTAAGCAGATGTTAGGTTATTTTATTTTTAGTCATCAGTGACTGATTAACGTTATACCAAAAAAACTCAACCCTCAAAAAAAATTTGTAGGATAATTATATGAAATTTTCTGGTATTTTGTTTTCATTTACAGGTGGACCCAGGGACATGACCTTCTTGTAAAATATGCATTATCTAAAGAAATGCTACACAACATGGTTGCCAACTCTACAGCAAGATTAAGGTTAATATAATAAGTTTGTTTTCCAAAATGCAATGTTGACATTATATCAATTGTCAAGGTCACAGTAGTAGATTGGTCACAATAGTAGATTGGACTTTGTATACAAATGTAATTTTTGGAAACGTACCAATAATAGATATTTTCAATTAAACCTCTGTTGCTTCTTATTGAGGTTTTAACTTGACTATTCAAAGTATAGTGTACAATGTAGCTATCTATTTAACCCTTATGTCAGCATTGGCTTAATCAACAACATTTCTTATTAAATTTTGAAACATAATACATCCCTGGCAGGCCTCGACACTAACTTTTTTATCAGGTGGTAAGCCGGGCCACTAGATTTGAAATTAAGGTGGTCCTTTCAGAAGTCAAGTGGTCAACTGTTATTATTATATCATTTTACTGCAAGTTTAGAAAAAAAAGTATGCTTAAAATTGATGACAAAGATGTATTATTAACCTTTAAAGAAAACAGACATTTTAGATATATATTTTTTTATCTTATCATAAATAAATTAAGGAGAGCGAGTTCTAAGTAGGTATTCTGTGGTGAAGTTATTTGGGTTTTTTTCTGGCTCATTCAAAAATACACATCAGGGCTAACTTATATATTGAAGTGATTTCTCCCTCAACTCAAGTTAGGGAATAGTGAAACCATTTGTGTCTGGGTTTGTTTCTTACTGTTATTCAAATATTCATTGCTGGTACGTGGTACGTCTTATAATCATGATAATCACATGTATCTTTTATAGATTAACATTTTAAATAAAAACTAATAAATTATCTTAAAACAAGGAAATATCTAAAGGATAAAAAATAAAAACAACTTTATATATAACTGTAGTTTAGCTTATTTTTCTCGCAGATTATAACTGTAGTTTAGCTTATTTTTCTCGCAGATTTATTATGAATATAGAATTTTTACCGCCCTGTTGCTTGTTGGTTGATAATTATTGTTTACATTGAGTATTTTTAACCTTTTATTTAAAAAAAAGTAATTTTAACTCTGGAAGAAATGGATCTCTTATCGTTAAACAGTAAAAATAAAGATAACTAGCAAAGAATTACTAGATGTATTTTTTCCAGTTCCTTTAGTTTGCAATTATTCATGTATATGAAATTAAAAGTTCATACAGTATCCCATACAATATCATAATTACCATTGTCGGATACCCACGTGTGATTAACATGTAACATAACATAAATGTTAAAGGTTCCGCCGTGGTAATCCGACGATGCATCATTACTAGCATCATTTGAATGCAATTTGTACCTAGCTTAATATCACAAATTCTTAACTCAACTTATATAATATACAAAATTTTAGCGACTTAAAATGAAAGTTATTGATGATTTAAGACCTTCTTTAACTAATCAGATTAATCTATTAATGAACCATATACATGTTCATAGAACAAATGGTTTTTAACAAAATGTATATAACATGTTTTTAACCAAATCACCAATCTCCCAAATGAGCCTTGCACAAACCAGAAAATTCAAGTGGTCCGACGGACCAGTGAATTTTAAAATTAGGTGGTCCTTGCCAAAATTAGGTGGTCTCGGACCAACGGACCACCGCTAATGTCGAGGCCTGGCCTGGGATCATAATATATGCCGCTTACTAAGTCCCATAACACTAGCATGGATTTTGACTGGGGTTTTATACCCCTTTGAAAATTTACAAGACTACTGTGGATACGTTTTTCAAACCAATGAAGGTATTCATTTATAATCTTCACACATGTCACCAGTGTCATAATGTAGGTGACTGTTCAAGACCAAAAGTTTAGCATGAACTCTCACTGACTTACTCCTATTTAGATATGACATTTGTTGTTTTTTATCAAGCACTGATAAATAGTCAAAATGGTATGGAGCATTAATCTTTTCTGTACTGAATATTGTGTCAAGGACATGGCCACATGTATTAGCAGTTAAATGCCAATTTTGTTTATTCCACCAGACACTTGTACAGTATGCAAAAAAATTGTATGTAGTAGATTTGGTAGACTAGTTATGAATATTTTCTCATGATTTACAATGTAAGTGCACTATTATCCAAAGAATTAATTACATTTTGTTCTTGTAAAGTTAAATGATAACTTTGTTTTGTATTTCCTTGCTTGTGTTTCAGAGATGGATGTGGAGAGTTTTTTGAGAAGCTGCACAAATTTCATATTCCACTACTAATTTTCTCGGCAGGAGTTGGTGACATCATACGTGAAATTATCTCCCAACATTCAACTTTCTATGACAACATGCATTTGGTATCCAATGAGCTGGACTTTGATGAAAACGTAAGCACACGTTTGTAATAGAAGAAATAAGATGAAAGTTGTAAGCTTGAAATACATGTTAATCTTTTTTTCCAAATAATTTAGATGTCCTCAACCCTTGATGCAAAGCAGTTGTCTACAAGGGTTGAGGCGTAAGAATTTGCATCCATCGTTCATCTCTGCGTGATCGTATCAGGCGACTAAATGGGATCTATTTACTGAAGTCACTGCATCTCTTAGCCCCAGCAGGTGGTTGTAAGTGTGTAACACCGCCTCCGTGGTCGAGGGGTTAGAGTCGATGACTTCTAATCCAGTTACCTCTTTGGCGTGGGTTCGATCCCCGGGAGATGCTTTGGTAGTTTAGCACGGAGGAAGGTAGTCTAGTACTGATGTAACTCTCCAGGAACGATGGTTAGGAAACTACCCGCCTACATGACTGAAATACTGTTGGAAAAGGCGTAAAATGAAATTGTAACACACGAGGTTATCCAAACTTTATTTTCCTGTTTTGGGGCCATATGATTGTGTTGGTGCGCCGCAAAACCAAATAAAAAAAACAAAGAACGCTACTATAAATTTTCACAAAGCAAAATTTTCATGAAGATTAATATCTCCATGTGACCTGTGAAAAGTAATAATTATGTACTTACTGCACCCTCTTTTAGTATATGTATTCTGTTTTTCAAATTATTCAGCTTCCACTATTAATTTTATTATTTTATTCAATACAGGGTAGAATGATCGGCTTCAAAGGCGAGATGATCCATGTTTTCAATAAAAATGAAAACGCTGTACATGAATCTGATTACTTCTCCAATCTAAGTCACTGTACCAATATCATACTAATGGGAGATTCTATTGGAGATCTGCAAATGGCAAATGGTGCTGAAAATGTAGAAGCTAAACTGACTGTAGGATTTCTAAATACAAGGGTAAGACTACTAAAGTTAAAAAGTTGTCATTAATAGTTTTAATATACATGTAACATACAGTAAGGATGACTGTTTATAATACTTCTATTCACAACTGCTGGTGATTAATGTTATATGTATCGACTGAAAAAAGATGCACTATACTTCATCATGGCGTTACTATTTTATGCCCCGGGTGTATAGTAATTTAACCGTCCGTCTTTCCATCTGTCCTTACAAGGTTAATTATAGCCGGAATTATCTTAAGTTCTACCTGTAGCAATGGCTTTATAACCTACACTCTTAATTGTCAGTACAAAGTACATGATCTTGGCAAGTTTCAAAATTATGCCTTTCATTTTTTTCCAAGTTACTGCCCTTTTCAGCACTTTGAAAATGGTTATAACATAAACCGTCATGTTGGATATATCTTAAGTTTTTAGTTTTCAGCATAATTTGGTTTTCCATTTTGTTCTTTTCCATTATTTATCTGCAATGTGGTATTTTTATTTTCTTGTTGAAGGTTGCCGACAGTTTGGAGTTGTTCAAAAGCAAGTATGACGTTGTGATATGTGAGGATGAATCGTTAGATATACCTAATGCAATTGTTAATAAAATTATAGGAACTCTCTGAATGAAACTGTTAGGTACTGTTTTAAATCCCCAAGGGTTAAATTAGGTCGTATTATAGGATGCTTGTTCGTCCGTCTGTTATCATGTTGTACGTGTAAACCTCCAGTAGTTAATGAGCTTTATTCAGTCCATAATCTTTATTGTAAAAAGAAAGAAACTTCATAAACAGTCAGTTTCAGTGGTAATTTCAACTGTTTTAAGTGGAAAAATGCTACAAAAAAATCTAAGATTTTGGCCCTTAAGTTCAAAATATTCGTGAAATCGTTAGTCCTTCCGTAAGTTAGCCGCACCGATGTCCGCTCAATAACTAAGACTGGCGTTTTGTGTTTATGCAAGGTAAGGACATGGCCAGCAGATAACCCCTATAGATTTTTGAGTCCAAGGTCACACTTGGTGTAAAATCTATCAATAATTTTAGAAGAAATAACCGTTGCTTTGCGACACTTACTCGGCGACATTTATTATACTAACACATAATGGTATATTGCTTTATTGCATTTGAGATAACTTTGCCAAAACTATTAGTGTCATATAATACTGAAATTAGTTAATAAAGGTGTTTTATTGAGTCACTTTGTAATGATGCACGGAGGCAAAGCTGGTAAACTTAAAGAAAATATCTGAACCACAATTTATCTTAATCCTTTCAGTGTCATATGATACCTGTATTTCGGCAATTGATTCGGGTCTACCGAAAATCATAAACAAGAAAATTTATATGCGTTATTTTAAGGAAACACAAAGGTCGCCAGGTCGTCATATTGAAAAGTAAACATTTTCTTAGAAATATTTGTAAGTATAGTGTTGGAATATAATGTATTTATAGCCGTATGCGGTTATCCGTTTTATTTAATTAAACTTCCATTATGTACACATAACTTCCAGTACAACGCTACCATTGGCGTCTGTTTTGTTGTTGTTGTTTCAAACATTTGACGGACATGAGCTTGATTTAATTTGATTAAAACCAGATAATAAATATCGCTTCGCTTAAAGAACCTGGCTTTCATTAAAAGGTCATACTCAACAAAATTATACTTAAATCGAGGTAATTTTCATGTACTTGGCATCAAAATACTAGTAGATAATATTTAATATCAAAGTTAATATGAAAAGTCTTCTTTTTATTAAGTTTTATTTAATCGAGATTGGCCTCCGTTGCTTGTGTGTACGGAAATCGTATCAGCACTTATAACTATACAAGTATAACTTTGTAACACGAAATCAGGCAACAATCTTGAATGAGATAATAATCTTTCAATGCGATAACATTTTAATTGAAAAAGTGTACACATTGACTAATGTATTTTGCTGGCAGCTATATTGACTTGATTATTTACAATTCTATCTGTTTTCTGGTTGCAATATTTTAACGTCTGTATGCAATGATTAGCACCAGACGGTATCTAATTTATCTCTGCTTAATGATCATCATTATGGTTATGTTATATGATGGCTTTAATGAAGAAATGGATGCTTTAAATGAACTTACAAATAGGCAAAACTCTATACTAAAAATGAAAACAATAAACCAGAAAGAGCGTTCAGCGTGGGACAATAAAAAGACAATTCAGTGGTTTGACATATATCATAACAATAGTGGACTTAGAAATCGGGCTTTGAACGTCGATTTTAATAAATGTAGTAATAAGAACTGCGAGTTACTAAAATATTTCGAATTTAAGTCACATGACGATGTGCTGCAGCACGGACCATTGGATGCAGATGCCGTTATTTTTCAAGGAAGCCATCTTGGTGAGATGTCACCACCACGCCGACGTGACAACGACCAGGTACTTCCATCATAAAAGTATATTTTATTAATAATCTTTACAAAAACAAGATATATATTATTGATACATTGTAGAATTAAAACGGGTTACTTTAATTGAAACATCTAGAATGTTCTACAAGAACATGTATGTGGCTTCATGTAAGTGCGGCTAAAACTATTTTGTATGTATTTTGGTTAAGTCGTATATTCTCTTGATTTTGTCGAATAGATAACTTTATTTAATCCAGAAAAAAGAATATCACACTATACAGTTTCGAAAAGAAAATTCAATTCTAGCATATCCAAATTAGGGGAGCGGCCAACCCTTTTGTTTATTGTGTAAAATTTTGCGTTGATGTAGAATTGATGTAAACATGTATTTATATATGTAGTAAATATTATTATACTAAACCAAATTGAAAGATTTAGGCCAATGTTTAATGTCAAGGTGAAACGTGTACTTTCACTGAATATTACAATTACTCGTATTATCAAATACACTTAACAAAGGCAAGTCTGCAGCTTATTGTATTGGTTTCGTTCAAGAACACTTCATTGAGTTTTGAGATTATGACCGTGAATACTTTTGTTACGTGTATAGTAAAGTAACTCCATAAAAAAGAACGACTTGACAAAGCTTTGTCTATAAATATTATGAATATTATCTTTTAATTTTTCTCTCTCTTTTCAATTCTTATACCTTTTCAATATATAATTTTGTAAGATTTTCTTCTTTCTTTTTTTAGGTATTTGTTTTCGCTGAAAGAGAGCCATGGTGGAATCTTGGTATTTACAACAGCATGGTGTCTCCAGCAAAACCTTATAAAACAGTAAAAGATGATCAGCTAGACTGGTTTTCTAAAAACATACCGAACGCCATTATAAATCCACATCATTACATTAATACAATAAAATTTCGAGACATGTTTAATTGGACAATGACGTACAGACGAGATTCTGATATTTCAATGCCTTATGGGAACATTCTTCATAAGAAAGAAGCTACCGACAACGATAAATTCATGTTGGAACAGAACAATAAAGAAAAAAATTATGATGACATTTTTGATAAAAAGGTTTACGATGCAGTTTGGCTGGTGAGTCACTGCACAACGAAATCAAAACGGGAAAGATATATAGCGAGTTTGAGGAAACACATAAACGTTGATGTTATAGGAAAATGTGGTGAGGACATGTGCCCTAAACAGAGAAAAAGGTCAGGTTGTTTGAAAGATATTGAACAAAAATATAAATTTGTTCTTTCTTTTGAGAATACTTTTCATAAAGACTATGTAACAGAGAAGTTATTTGACTGGTACTCTAAGGACATCATACCTGTTGTTTACGGTATGGCAGACTATAAGAAAATAGCACCAGCAGGGACAATTATTATTGCCGAAGACTATAGTTCACCCAAACTTTTAGCCCAATACTTGAAATACGTCGGTTCGAATCGTGACACGTATGTGAATTTTCTAAGACGAAAAAGACGATATGTAACAGTATCACATGACGTCATGCAGCAGACGTCGTATTGTAAGCTTTGTGATTGGCTACATCATCTGGACGACAACAGAAAGTCGTATCCTAAAATAGACCAATGGTGGCAACTGAACGATACATCTGGATTCAATAAACTGTATTCCCAAGCAATGCCCACGGATGGCATTAACAAAATAAGTTTGGGTTTTCTGTTTCTAGTTTTCGTTGCTTTAATAGTGATCGTCTGCACACTTGTACACAAAAGAATAGTGATACTACAGAAAGAGAAATTTGTTCTATAAATAATTTCAAAATGTCTAGAGAAAACAGCAAGAGATTTTCAAATGTTTTACGTCACGTGTAGAACAATTTTGGTTTTGCATAAAACATTTACACACAAGTCAACACTGTTTGTTCTCATACAATTATTTAGATTTCTTTATTCAACAAGAATATAAAATTGGTATAAAACATTGGGATATAAAACAAACAAAAACCACCCTGAAGTAGAATACAATTATCTATTTCTAATCTAAGGCAATATTATCTTAAACCATAATGCAGTATCACTAGCAGTTAAGCTCGCACTCATTAAAAAGTAGAATTTGGTACGCAATTCTAAGACTTTACTTGAAAATTTTAAAATTTGAATTTGAAAGACTTGAAATAAAAATATCCATATCTAAATCAATAATAAATTTGACAAGATGTGACATACCTGCTTATAGATTACTAAAACATATTAAAATTCAATTTTGTAAAACCATTATGAACAATTATTATGAATTGCACTAGCAGAGCTATCAGAAAGTTACATTTAAAATAGCATATTCACCTTTCAGATATTTAAAAGGACGAAACAAGCCTCCGACAGCTATAGATCCGTGTTTGGCCGGTCATAGTATAAATTAAAACGACACTACGTATTAACATTGATTTGAACGGTTCTATAAAAAGGTATACCGTTAAAACTAAAGGAAAAAAGATAGTACAATTATGGAACAGCCCCTGAATTAATGGAGCATCCTATAAATGTCCAATTACATCTTCTAATGTATTGAATCCGTACGCCTGTGGTGCTCTAGTACTTGAAACATCTTTCCCGGTCAGACTTGACCCGATTATATATTCTTTTCCAAGCTTTTTTTGTCCCCATGCAATTACTGTATCCATTGTAGGTGTCTTCACTCCAACGCATTCCGCAATTCCTTTGATAACAACTAACCCAAAAGGAATATCTTCCGATAAATATCTGTAGTTAAAATCAGGCACGAGACCCCCTTCTACCCTTTTCATTGGATGGATAAGGCCGTCATAGGCACTATTTGTTTTCATGCATGCTTGGAGAGAACTGTTATCCGAAATCTGATCCTTATAATAAACTTTGTACCAGTCGTAGATATGAATAACTTTTGTCATGTCTAGGTCTTTTCTCTGTCTATTGATTTCTGCTGCAGTTTCAAGGACTTCATCACTAACTTTGGTTAGTAAGGACTCCTGAATGTCATCTATACCTTGGTAGAAGAGAGGAGCTTCTTCAAGTGGTTTACCATCCCAATCCTTCCATTTTCCATATAAAATAGGAGGGTGCACAATCGACTTAGCCATGAGGTTAACTGCGAGGTAGTTCTGAATTAATTCTAAGTGCGGTTTAGGGCCTAAAATTGCTTGAGCATATTCTAGAGGTGGCATCTTGTAGTTGCCTTTTCCTGCGGATACTACAGACACCCCAAGAACATCTTTGTAACCTAAGAGTTGAACTCTTTTGCCGAATTCTACTACTCTACATGCCCATGGTAACGACTCCATACTTATAATTGCATAAGTTGAAACAGATTTAAGGCTTTTAAAAGCTTGAAATTCAAATCCTGCTTGGCTTGGCATCCCCACTATGATAGTGTTTGGTTTGATATATTTCAAAATGGCATCAAAATACTGCTGATGAGCAAACGCAGGAACAACAAAGAAAACTGCATCAACTCCTTCCATAGCCGCTTCCGGATTATTAGTTATCAATCGTGGTTTCCCAGTGACTTCTGATTTCTTTCCATCACTTGTGGTCACCTCAGCGGATATCCCACCATCTCCAACTATATCGGACCATCGTTTTGCTTCGTCTTTAAACAACGTCATTATATGTACTTCTACATTTTTGAGAGCTGCAGCAGTGACTGCAAGACAGTGAGCGCCATTACCACCGCCGCAGACGAGAATTCTTGTTTGTTTTTCCATTGATCTGAAAAGAGAAAATTATTACAGCTCAAAATTAATCTGTTTTAAGTCACACAGGTAAAACGTTTCTGCATCGAAAGTTTCACGAGTGGTGTACATTCACATTTTAGCGATCGACTAAAATATTGATAATGGTGCAGTTGATGAAGTATAAAGTATATTACAACTCTCTAGGTGCGCTGCCATAATGCTAGGTAATGTTAACAAAATAAAGTTAAATCATAAGTTGTTTATATTTCATTTCCTGAAAAATTACCATCTTAAAATGAAAAATGGATTTTCACTGTTTATACCGAGGACTCCTGTTCAGTTCTTAACATAGCTACTCTTTAAAACACGCCATAATGGTAAAATTGTATAAGATTTTTTTTTGTTAAATATGACTAATTATTTTGCTATGATTGTACAAAGATAAAATATATTAAATAGAGCGGCACTACATATGTAATGTAAAGTAGACTGGGAATGGAATTAGAGCGACAATAAGAATGTTCAATGCTAATTTTAAACTGTCAAAATTTTACATTATTTTAATAAGAAACATTTGATGACATATAACTGATTACATTATATTATTGATTACATATATATAACTGATTGCATATAACTGATGACATATATATTACTGATTACATATAAGCAGACTGTTCATATCGATATGCAAAGTACATTAAACAACCACCTTTAATATTTTTAATAAAAAATATCGGGTAAACGTTTTAACCACCATTATAAATAGGCTTATGCATGCACAACAACGTTAAACTTTTTAAAATCTAGTGTGTGTTATAGTGTGTATCTTAGTGATAAATTGGATTATTTATTTCATGAAGGAGGATATAACATTATGCTATTTTAACGTGTTTAAATAAATCCGGGTTTAATGTCCGCGTTTAGTCACTCTACATGTGAACGAAGGGTGAAATAACAATGTTATCATGAAAAATACATAGCAGGGCTATCGATTTAATACTAAGGTCAAGGTCGTTAGCGAGCAGATACAGAAAGTTCAATTAAGGTTATTCATATTACAAAATTCTAAATTGTATTATATTTGTGGTCAGATAGAAAATATTAGCGTTTTTAATACGACTTGTTTTACATTTATATAACATTAAACAATATAATATAATACAACGACCACTTTAATCATTCTTATAGCGTGTAAAATTACAAAGATAATGGTTCAATTGGTATGTAAAACATTACTACATCAGAAATAACATGATTGGCAAGGAGTAAAAGCAAACATAGTGAGAGTTATCACTTCATTAATCAACATTATAAAAATGAGATAAAATAGTAATTACATACCACGTGTTCACATTAAAGTAAAATATATTTCCGTATTCACATGTATCATAAATTATATGATACGACTTTATCACAACCCTGAGCTAACATAAATATCGATTGATAATATTAAAGTCTTTATACGAAAAGAATAAATCACATACAACCCCTGATATGTCAATGTCATATTGTTTAACAAGTGTTTTCAAAGTACATTAATTTTGCACATTTTGTTAAAAGAACAAAAAAAAAAGTTTAAGATGATAAATATAATATACGTATACAAAGTACCTCTTTAATATAACATCCGATACTTTAACTGGTCGATAAGGATAAACGTAGGCTATTAACTTAATTGTCCATTAAGCTTGTCAAGCTTTCATGTAACAATGTGTGAAATGTTTAATTTAAAAAATACCACAAGTCTTAAGCATCACAAGCTCCCCGGAAACCTTGAAAGGTGAAGGTTGTTGAAAATATTATTTTGCCGACCATACAACAGTTGTAAAATAATTGGGCCAAAAAATGAATACGAATTACTTAAACACGATAGACAAAGTAAAAACATCTTGAATGGTTAAACGTATTTTTATTCTTTCTCCTTAATTTAGCAACTTTATTTACGCTAAGGTTATAGCCGAAGACATTGTTAAAGCAGCACGCCTCCAGATTCATGCTCATTTTCATGAAAATTTTTAAAATGTATTTGAATGTGTAATATTGTGAAGTAACCAAAAGGAAGCAATTTACACATTATCAATAGCACTTACAAACCACGTTAAGTTACCAAAAGTGGTCAAATAAAGCATAAATAGCCTGTTACTGCGTTAGAAACGCAAAAATTAAGTTGTAAAACGAAAAATCATAATTTATGGCAACATACAATATGTAAAAAATTCCTTGACCTTGAACTTTATTTTTTCCTACATCTTTAGTAACATTTTCTTCCCAATTTGAATTTTATTAAATATTCCGACTTATCTGTAGGCATTAGCAATTTAAATGTTTAACAATTAAATTGTGTGTTAGATGCCCAAAAATAAAGCGTTTCATTTAAAGGTTATTCACTGGCATTGGAGATGGGAGCACCGACCCAACTGGCTCAAAAGTGTGGCATGCTTTTAAAAATTCTAGCTAAAATTCATGCATTTAAGTAACAAAATACTTGAATGCACGTTAACTAAAAAATTTACAGGTAGTTCCAAGCAAAGACACCAATATTAATGAAATCCAGAATTTTAATCTCAGATAAAAGGTGTAGGAATATTAAAAGCCTGGCAACAGCAAAGTTTTTCATATTAACAGCCACTGTTTTATTATACATCCAGGCACTTCACTGAAATATTGCATGCAGAAAATCAACCAGTGCTATAATAGAGCGAAGCTTCGATGGCGTTATGACTCATCATGTGGTTAGAATGCTGTGAAAGATCTTATTGTAAAATCATAACTGTTCTTCATACTCATTAGTTCTAAAATACGTCAAAATGTTTTGTTTACATTACTTAAGAAAATGAAATATATGCTATGTTCACACGAGAACTCATTTCAATTTTCTGCAATAACATCTTGTTATTAAAATTCAAGATCCTCGTGCAGAAATTGTTTAAAATACATGTCTTATAAATATATAAGTCTTAGACGCAACTACTTTTACACATTGAACATACATAAAACACGGACATTATTTTTTTCAAATCTTAAAAATGCAATGTCTGAATGACTCATATATTGAATAAGACCGGATCAACATTTAAATACGCCTAATTTTATCGTTTGGCGTGTATTTAGAATATTGCATTATTGATGCCATATAACACAAACGTTTCAGATCGACACATAACTTTATTCACTCAAGCACGTGTACAATATGAGGATGTTTCTAATACAATGAATGAATATAGAACTAGTTTTCCGGACAGTAAACATACACAATTTAACGCTTTTTTATGTAACATAAAACAATGACTATTAAATGTTGTTTTCTGGTGAATATAGACTGTACGTCATGAAGTAAACAGTGTCATAGCCATAGCTCTAAAAAACTGAAAATTATTTTACGACACCAAAAGAAATTGAAATCATGATAGCTCCACTGCAGAGCAGAATTAAATGATGCCATATTCTCACCTATATTGTATAAATTCCTGATTCAACACTTACAGCCAGTCTTATAAATACATACGTTACTTTGTGTTCATCCTATGAGTAAAACACCACAAATATATCCGTAATATTAACAGTGCTACCAGAATCAATTGATGATGAACCAGGAAATTTCTTTACCTCTTAAAACAAGTATGTTACAATCGATTGTCGGCAACAGCCTAAAGCTATATAACATACAATCAGCTTGCGCGTGCTGCACTCTCATACATTCATTTACAACGTGTTGAAATTCAGCATTATAAAAAAAACCCCAACAAATATGTGAATCAATAATACGTATTTTTAATTTAGTCACACCATATATTGATCTATTCTTGTCAATAGAAGTTAATCAATAGCCAGTTGGTAATAATTGATTAACCATACATTGTGGATGCTATTTAACGGTGATGTAGCACGAAATTTTGAATCACTATATATACAGTAAATTCCAATAATGTACTTATTTTGATATAAACAATGTAATATGCATTATGGTCGTGTGAAGTATATGAGATTGGGTTAATAAACTCTTGTTCTTCAAATGAAAACAAACCAGACTGTAGATTGTTGACTGTAGCTATTTATTAAAACCAGTGAAATTCAATTAAATTAGCATACAAGTGTAGACAAACTTTTTGCATAATTTCGCGTAAATAAATATTTGATAAAACTTTGATCGGCAATTAACTGGGTTTTACCTAATAGCTTTAAATATTGATTCGTTGAACTGCATTATTATTGGCTACAGACATTTATCATTTACCTCTGTCTTATAGGTGTATTTGAAATAACTATTTATTAAAAAATACACCCATAAGATGTACCACTAAATATTCACCAGACTTTACATACAGTAGAGGTAGTTACCTTAGTCCATTTAAGTGGCACGTCCGTCCGTACGTCCCGAATTCGTGTCGGGTCCATAACTTTGTTATTTGAAGTCGAATGTTACAACTATTTCACAGAAATGATTAGCATATTGAGACGACGTGTCGCGCGGAAAATTTGGGTCGCTACCGGTTTTGCTGTCGCTTTGGGCGCAAAATGTTATATAATGGGATAATTTTCCTATATAAAATATAAAATTTTAATTCTCTTTCCCAACTTTTATTCAATTCTTATAAGATTTATTTCTTCATAGGCAAAAGGGTCTTAAACGTAAAAATTAAAAACATTTAGATTAATTTTGTATCTTAAAAAACAACAACATTTAACCAATAAGCATTAAATGATAATAAATTTCTAACCCAAGAGGCGTACGTGGTATTGTCACATTTTGGTTCGTTTTTCTTTTCTGTATGTTATGATTAAAAAAAACACCTCCATTTTCTGTAACCAACCGTTAAAACACCATTAATTTTGTGTAAATCCCTAACTGATTAGCCCTTACAAAAGTTGGAAGTTCTTGTTTACAATAATATGTGGCACCAAGCTATAATACATGGGAAATGGCATAGAAACGGCTGCATGGCATGGTCTTTTTATTTATTTATTTATTTATTTGATCGGCGATTTGTTCTTTCTGTGTAAAAAGTGTATGCAATTTCGTAAAAAAAACATGATATTTTGGAGCCAGCCATTAAAACATCATTTGTACTCTTTTCCGTTGCCGATTGGCCATTGCATTAGTGTTACAGCAATATAAGGCACAAAACCAATAAGCAAAGCAAAAAGGCCGCGAGAGGCCTGCATGACATGATTGTATGATTTTTATTAAAACACATTTTTCTAGAGCCAAACGTTATAACACAATATGTTTGATTCCGTTTGCATTGGCAATCGCATTTTGTAGTTTGAAGGTTATTCTTTACGGCAATATTTCTTTTAAAAATACCACCATTTTCTAGAACCAACCGTTAAAACACCATTTGTCTCATTTCGTTGCTGTTGTTGATTTGCCATTGCTCAAGTATGGACGTTTTTCTATACAGTAGTATATATGGCACAAATCTCTAGCCCAAACAAAATGTCAGTGAGAGGTCCGCTCGGCACGATTTTTTTTATTTGACCGGCGATGTGTTCTTTTTGTATATGAAGTTTATGAATTTTCGTACCCCACCCCCTTTCTGGAGCTTACCGTCTACACCATTTGAAAGAGGATCAATGCGATTTGATCTTTTTGTATATTCTTATATCGACTGAAATTTTTACAAACATAAATAGACCCAACCCTTCTGATACTTTTGTCTTTATTATTTTGTATGGATACAAAACAGCGTCATACATCTTAATGAAAACGTGATTTAGTGATGACATTTAAACGCGTTATTACAGTTATTTACATAGTGAGTCATTGTTAAATGAACGACATGTACTTTAAAAAATATAAAGTAGTAATCCAGCAGATTGTATAAGTTCGGAGGTTCTTCTTTTAAGCAATACAAGGCTGAAAGCTCTAATGCAAGGAAAACGACTGAAAGAGACCCGCGTGGTACGGTCGCTTTTTGGACCGGCGATCCATTCTTCAAGTCCAAGAATTTTCGTATAACCACCATTTTTTGGAGCCAACCGTTTAAACACCATGTGCATGGTATTGTATAGGGATATCAATAGTGATGTCACTTGGCTGAAATGTAACGTTCACTTAGTCTAGGGACGATTTAAGAATGTGTGAGAAAATAATTTAAATTCAATTGCATAAAAAAAAGAAAAAACTTCTTTTCCCAAAATGTATAAACATCTTTTAATACATCAATAATATATATGTGCATGTAAATGGTAGGTATGGCGAATCTCACAATACACGAAAATGTTAAAATTTATGGAGAAAGTAGCAACCTTCAACTTAAAATTATATTAATAAAGTCAGAAAGTTAAAGCTTTAGAATACGTAGATCTAGTATTAGATATATGCTTTTGAATGATATCATGTAACACACTAGATATCAATTTTTTTTTACTTGATTAATGAAATCGTCCTTTCGTAACAAGTTAGTATCAAACTTTACATCTCTGAACTATTCAAGGACATGAGCAGTGGTCTGAAAATTTCGCTTTAAGGAAAATAGGTCTACTATACTCAGTATTGTCAAGAAATATCTCACATTTTTAAATCTC